GAAGTTCACGAATCATTATACCGATTAGGCATGTGGTGGCTAGAGGACGTCCTGAACACAGTTGACCATTTTTAACGCCAGGCACATTATGATCAAGAAAAAATAATTAGTTCATTATTAACCATTCTTGTAGATTGACCGTTATATTTGTTATATACTAATCTTTTCATTGGTTCTTGTTTTAAATATTGTTAAGTGAAAGGATCTAGTGGAATTTAATATTTTACATACATATATATAAGAAGTAGGCGTGGTTTTAGTCCGATTTTACACAATTGGGAATTATAACATAAAGGTGCTAATAAATTGTGTTGCAAGTGATTAGACATTGGTGTAAATGTTTTAAATTTCAAGTAAATGTATCGGAACAGACCTAGTTAGCTTTAGAAGAGAAAATATAACTAACTACGAGTATTTCAATATTCATTTAATACATTGCAATATTTGATAAACATTGTATGTACAAATATTTGCATTATCTTTATTGCAAACAGTCTAAGGTCTCACACGATTGTTTATTTAATTAGATTTTCATTATATAATATATACTCACGTGTGTATATATCGGTGAAAAAGCTATTCAGTAAACACAACAATTATCGGCAGGAGAATGATAAGCTACTAGTGTCTCTCTACAATATTTTACACAGAAAGTACTGCTGTTGGCTTTTAATGAGCCCTAAAACGGCTACCATGGAGCATAATATGAGAAATGTCCACGATATTGCCAGATCGTCGATTGAAGGTGCGCAAGATAGCGAACACAGTATGCTTCTCTTTTCACACCAGAGATCAAATAAGATTCGAAAGAATGGACTTCACTTTTAAAAAGGTTCTGGACAAATACTTTTAGCTAAAAAATATTTACAAGTACGTAAATTAAGAAATAAATATTATAATATTGCAGTATATATAACATAAAACAAGTAAGGAAGCTCTAAGTTCGGGTGTAATCCAACATTTTATACTCTCCCAACTTGCAAGGATCAAAGCCCGGGAAATTACTTCAGGTGTTATTTTATATTAAAGAAAGTATTGATCGGATTCAACCCATTTTTGACACAAAACATACTATTTTTGAGAGTTTTATTTATTTATTTTATTATATGAATTTAAATTTATATCTTACACATTGACCGATATTTTCAGGAAAAAATCAACTATAGGCACTGGGGCTCACATAGTCAGTATTATGGGGCTTGAACAGTTCTGGTTTAAACGCATCATTCGCGCAGAGTTTTACCCCGATACAATCAATGATTTGCATAGTGGAACGTGAAAGAGTCAGATGGAATTTAAAATCGTATTATATGGGAAATAGGCGAGGTTGTAATCCGATTTCGCCAACTTTCACACTATAACATCCTGTGTACCAAATCACAGTCTTGTATCTTACTCTTGAATTTAATTATGGCAATTTATTTGTATTTGATTTATCTCGTTTTGTGGACGTGGCAGTGGTCCGATTACGCCCATCTGCAATACCAACCGTCTTACGGTACCAAGAAACATGTGTACCAAGTTTCATAAGGATATCCCAATTTTTACTCAAGGACGGACGGACAGACAGTCACCCGGATTTCAATTCGTTTCTTCATCCTGGTCATTTATAAGTATATACATAACCCTATATCTAACTCTCCTAGTTTTAGGTGATACAAGCAACCGTTATATGAACAAAACTATTATACTCTGTAGCAACAAGTTGCGAGAGTATAAAAATAGAGGAAAGTGAGGAAACTCAGCCATAGGCTTAAACCTTAAGTAAAGTCAAAATATTAGCTATATAGGTATTCAATTTGCGAAAAAGTGATGAGTGGTGAATCAACTAGGTGGTGGTTGTAGGTTTCACATCGAAATACTTGTATTTTGACAATAGAGAAAAACTCAAATATAGTAAGTAGAAAAGTGACGAATCGAACATGACTATATTTCGTTTTCCTTGTTTGAACTTTACCTTAATTCCTTCATGTTTACAAATGGTTTTTTCTTTGAGATAAATGAGTAAGTTTGTAGTCGGGAGATAACGCCGCTTACAATTTTAAGGGTAAGTATAAATATTGTATATTTTAGCTGTCTTCGATTCGCCATTTCTCTGATCGCTATTTTTGCTTGCTGTTCTCTTGTAGACCGCTATCTTCAATGCTGTCAAGTTTTGTTTTGCACATTTTAGAACAATTTTACTATTGTGAATGGTTCAAATGACAAATCAAAATACAAGTTTCTTTTTATTCTTTGATTTTCAAAACTTAAGACTTATAATCAATTATAGAAAGCAAAACTATAGAGTAACCCCGTTAAACATTTTTTGATATGGAAAAAAGAATTTCTCCTCAAGAAAAAATCGTAGCACTACTGCGCATGCGTAAGAGGACATGCTAGCGCTTACTTTTACTTGTACTACAAGTGCTGCCTGTTTGTTTGAACATCTCGTACCGCTTGGCGAATCGAAAACAGCTTTTATATTTTTCAGGAACAGCCATAAGATAAACGGTAAAAGTGACAGTTTGAGGAGTGTTTTAAATATATCGCTATTCATTATGCACCAACCTTAATACCTTAATACTTGAATACCTAAGAGAAAAAGCGAAGAGTTGAAAGAGCAATTATCATAATCCCCTTTATACTAATATTAATGCTGAGGGTTTTATGAGCAATCAAGCTAAATTTATATAAAATTTCAACCATACTCAGAGGAATGGCACTCGTTTTCCTTCTCTTGATCTCAAACAAGTCATGGCCCGTTTACCGGCACGCTTATTGCCGTTTTGGGCTCAAAGAATAAGTTTCAGTATACCTGGCCAAATGAGTTACAATTCCCGCCCCGAAGAACTCAGACACACCACACACAAGACAACACTGGCACACACACCACACCTGGAAACAGCAAAACACCCACACACCACACCAGACAACACTGGCACACACACCACACACAACACCCACACACCACACAAGGATCTCTACACAACACACCGAACAAAACATCTGTCCTCGAAGCGACTGTCGAGTCTGAAACACCATTTCTTTGGCGCGCGTATCAATTTATCCCGGTTATCAACCATTTTTGTTATACTCTCGCAATTTGTTATTGCACAACGGTTTTTATTACCTCTCCACTGGTATGCGACCAGGGAGTGCGTTAAGTTAACACTTTGTAGTTATCAAAAAAAAATAAAGTTTGTGAATAATTTCGAAACGAAGAAACATACGATTTTAATTTGCGGAATTTGAAGTGAAAAGTAAGTGGTGGTGTTAACAATACCAAATCAAACCAGATGTTAAGAAGTTTATAACTAGTTAATTGACTGCCGGGTTTCTATGTACATACATTAGATATATGTATTGTATATATTATATATATATCTTACGAGCAACAGCTGTCATCTACAAATTGTTTATTTATCCCTACTTTTTATAAACAAATATCGAATTTCTAAATGGAAATAGTTTCTGAAACGGGTTTGTTCGTTTTTTATTCAACTCATTACTTCGCTAGTTGATCAGATACAGCCGATGTATGCTAAGTATTTTTCCACCATTATTTACAAACATGTATGTACATATGCATATTACACAGCTCTAAAAAAAAGCATTGCCCTGGAATCTTAGTAAATATTGATGGTTTCAAGTGCCGAGATAACGAACTTATTTATGAAAATGTGGAGTATACAGCGTGATACAGAACTCAAATTTGGCACAACGAATCCCATTAAGGAGGGGCACCAATAAAGCTATATCACCCAAATTTGCATAGGGCAAATTTTTTCAACCCTTCTTACAATAGTGTTAAAATACATACATACATAGTAGGTAAAATCCCATATAACGGTTTTGGTAAAAACTACTAAAAGTGTTAAAATCAATAACTAAATGCGTCAGAGACATTAAATTTAAATACAGCATGCCACAAGAGGGCTTTATAGGAGCCGCCGTCAAAATTGGACGATGGACGTGGCACCGCCCGCTTTTATGTAAACTCACATATCGATTTCAATCAAATTCGGTACATAATATTTTTTTAATATTCCTATGTTATTATGCAAAATGGAGAAAATTTGTAGGTACAACACACGCCTACTTCCCATATAACACAATTTTAAATTCCATCTGATTCTTTCACATTTCCGTATACAAATAAAGCACCAATTATTATATCGGGATAAGACTTTTCACGAATAGTGCCTTTGAAGTGTGTCACCTTATGACCAAAAGATGTCCAAATCGAACCAAAGCTGTTCAAACCCTAGGTACCGAAATTGTGGACCCCAGTTCCTATTGATTATATATTATATCTATTACAGAAATTCGAAGAGAATCTTTTTCTGTTAATAGTAAGTCTGTGTATTAAAGGTGGGTTGAATCAGGTCAATAATTCCATTAATCTCCACATACCTAATAAAAATATTTTCGATTTTTCAGCTGGCTTTATACCGCATGGTAGGCCAATATGTGAGTTATCATAGTGAAAGTGAGTGGGCGAGTCTAATAACAGTGTGTCTTTGCATATAAAATATATGTATAAACTCCTGTGAAAACTTGTCCTAGTCCCCATATAACTAATATCAGGATTTTCAAGCATCCAGTTGACTTTACTCTTTATATATTGGAGATGGTAAGTGGAGTACCTGAATAAAACTAAGAGAGCATCTGCTTCTGTTAATCATACTTATATAGTAAGTTTAAAAATATATAAAATCAGGTTAATACTCCCTTACCTCCCATATATCAAATAATATTTCCTCTGCCGTTATTTGTGCAAGTCGCAAGAGTTTAAAATGTTAGGTTGCACCCGAACCTTCCTTACTTGTTTTTATGATAATTTCTTAACTTATATTTTGTTCAATTATCGGTTTTATAGTAAAAAAATTTATTTTTCCAGTCATTGTTAGGGGTTTTCGAACCTTTTTCGCGCATAAAAACATCACGTTATCCTAACTCATTCAAATTATGCGGAAGGTTTTAAGGTTTAAATAAACATCAAACGTAAAGGTACTTACGCTTGCAGTCTACAAAAAGTCCTGTTTTACTCAATAAAAATCTCGATATCGTTTCACAATTAATTCGCATGGACTACTGGCTGAATGGGAGGTTGAAACATTTACGCCAAAGTTATATTCTCAAAATGAAATCAGTGATTTAATATATGATAAAGTTAGGAATGATAAAGATTTACCTGAATATCGTGGCTTCCTTCCATATTATTAAAGAAATTGATGAAATTTACTTAATTTATTAATTTTAATACTTAAACGTCAACAAATGGGAAACAACAACAGTGTTGATATGACAGTAAAGAATGTCTTTAGCTAGAGTTTTTATGCAACAAAGTATAAATTTACTCATAAGGGAACAATCCACACGCAACACGACGACTGCTTTCGAACTACCTGCTTACCAAGACATCAACCAATTGCTAACCAAAACTTTCAAAGGTAAAATTTTATCCTTTCCCACATTATATTTTAAAATCATATTTGTAACATAAGTGAAGAAATATTGGCGGAATATACACCAACACTTAGCGTGTCATACAAGAAATACATTTCATTAACCACATATTGGTTGAAAAGTTTCTGCGCTCGAAATGCAAAAATACTGTTTTTAGTTCGAAATTTATTTTTTATTCAATATAATCTCCTTTAACTTCAATACACTTATTCCAATGATCCTCCAATAATTTTATGCCATCCCTAAAATGACTTTCCGGAAGTTCTGCAAAATACCCATCTACGGCTGTAATAGCTTCTTCAGGTTTTAGGTTTTTAAAGAGGTAGTAGGCGCTGGAAGCCAAATCTGGTAAATACGGTGGAAGCTCGCGCAATTCGTAATTTAATTCGTTGAAGTTTGTCATTCTTAAAACATCTTTGTGAGCAGCTGCATTGTCTTGATGAAAAATAATTTTTTTGTATTGTAAACCTTCTTTTCTCACGGATTTTTTAATCCAGCTGATCCAAAAAGCTGCAATAATATTCAGAGTTCATTGTTTTACCTTTCTGCAGATAATCAATCAAAAAAATTCCTTTTACCTCCCAAAACACTGATGCCATAACCTTCTTTGCTGATCGTTGTGACTTCACCTGTTTTGGAGCTGAACAACCACTTTCAGTCCACTGTAAACGTTCTTGTTTCATTTTAAGATCATTGTGATAGATCTAAGTCTCATCCATAGTTATAAAACGTCGCAAAAAATCAGTTTAATTCTGCTTAGAATACTCCAAATTATGCAGAGGAATTTGTTTTCGTTTTTTTGAACTGTTAAAGTGTGTGGTTTTTTTCTACTACTACTAACTTTCCAAACATATTTTTCATATGTAATTCTCCATTTAAAATATAAAGCACTCGTTCGTTTGAGATGCCTATGGCATTAGCAATTTCACGCCTAGTCAAACTTGGATCTTCACTAACATTATTATGAGCTGGGCTCAATGATTTTTGGTGTCGTTGCGGTTTTTGGTTGTCCTTCGCGTGATCGTCTTCAAGCTTAGCACGACCAAGTTTAAATTCACCAGCCAGAAATTTAACGGTGCGTTTTGAAGGTGATTACTCCTTATACATTTCTAAAAGAACGGGTTTATCAGGCGCCAAAACAATGAACGTGAAGCGGTTGATACGGTCATAACATATCTTTTTTTTGCTCACAGCTAAAAAACGACGGCCTTATAATAAATTAATCATATTAGTGTAAAAAACAAAATCATTTCCTTCAACATTTGCTCACCGCATCCTAATCTTGTCATAAATCACAAAACGTCAATTTAAGCATTGATAAACATGATACACATTTATTTTCATATAAACAATATAATTTCAAATTTATGTGAAGTTCGGGGATCCGTGATTTCTCTTTTTAATAGATTTTTAATTCTAAGGAATTAACCAGTTGGTGATTTAAGTATTTTTGGGCTATGTCGGCGTATGCGATATCTTTGTTCCGTAATACCAAGTTCCGTAATTCTATACCCACCACCGGCGATAACTTTTCCATGTTGAGTCGCTTCGGCAAAAACTAGATATACACAAAGAAGTAGCAGATATAGGAGCTTCATAATGGCAAATATAAAGTACTGTGCAAACAGACTAGAACAAATCCCTTTTATATCAGTTAAGAACCTTATGATATCCAATTTTCCGGAGACGGCAAATATAAATGACATCGAATGTGATTAGTATAGTATGTAAGTACATTAATTACTGTCATGAGGACAAGGTTCGTAAACAAACTAAACAATTTATTAAAACTGGTAAAACCGGAGGACTGAGCTAGTCTGCTTGTATACGATGCGGATTGCTTATTTTTGTCTCTAAAAATAGAACATACATTCATTTTTTAGTGCAAAAAACCTTTGATGAGCAAAGTAAGGAAAACCTAGCTTCGGCACAGTACAAATTATATAGTCGGCTAAGTGAAGAGCGGATAATATGGTAGAGCACACAACTATTACAGAAGGATTTCAAAGAAACAAATAGTAGAAGATACGAAATTTCACCTGAAAGAGGACTGAACTTGTAGCAGAACTTATGGAAGGACTAAATATACGCATCCAAAGTCCAAAACATGTTAATCAAAAAACGCTCTATCAAAGCATTTATAAACTTTTATTTTTATATAAGGAATATCAAATATATATTTCGGGGAATCACAATTTTTGTTTGAAATAGAAATTTTCAAGGGAATTAACCCATGCGACCTCCGATACGTCCACCACCTATGGGACCGCCACCGCCACGTCCACCGACACTGCCTCTACCCATACCTCCACCCATGCCTCCACCCATACCTCCTCTACGTTGTGCCTGACCGGCGACAACTAGACACACAAAAAGTAGCAGCAGATAGAGAAACTTCATTATGACTCTGAATCTAGAGTGTTGTACAATCCGCTTCTTATACGCCCTTTTATACTTGTCAAAAACTGCACTCCAACTTATTGGCAATCGAAAATTTCCAAAAACAATAAATATCAATTACATTTAATATTATATGTTTATAAATATGCTATTGTCGTGACGAATTAAACCATAGTATCATAGTACAGATACATTTAATTAAATAATTGAAACTAACAATGCTCAGGGGTTGGGCGAAGTATGCTCTTATTTGAGCGATTCGTTTTGGTCTCTACAATTAGTATGCACATCTGTGAAGATAAGTAAATTATATGTAATTGTATATATTTACATTTTATACAATTAAAAAATTGTTGTTGAGATAGGTAAGGAAGACCGGGCGTGGGCTCATCAGATCAGAGGTAAACTTGACTGAGCGAATAAGAAATACAAGCCATCTTCGTTTCGTCAAAATGATGATATGGTATAAAGCAATTCCTTATTGCACCTTTCGTTAAATCGGACCACAGGCACGCCTATTTTCCATTCAACGAAGTTTTGATATCCATCAGTTTATTTGACTTTGCACTAGGTACCTCAATAATTAACTTTGTCGCGCAAAAACTCAGCCCATATAAAAATATAAATACAAGTATAAAAATTATTTTCTAAAATTCGGCGAAATCAGTCAATTTTTTTTTTATACCCCATATACATAATATATAAAATTTCATCCCTCTTTAACACACTCTCTATAATCGCTGTCTTCGATTCGCCAAGCGTTACTTTCCAGCGAATTGAACAAACTAGACCAGATCTTTACACAAACGGTCAGCATTTGCGGAGCAACCCTGCGCTAACATGTCTTCTCACGCATGCGCAATAGTGATATGATTAGATATGATTACCTAGTGGAGAAATTCTTTTTTGCGTTAAAAAATGTTGTTGTAACCCTCTATTTTGGTTTTCTATAAATTATTAAAATTGATTTTAAGTCTTGTTTTAAAAATACAAGAAAAAAAAGTAATTTGTATTTTCATTTGTCATGTGTCACCATTCACAATAGTAAAAGTGCGAAAGGAAACTTGACAGTATTGAAGATAGAAGTTATACCACTTTAATGAGGAATCCGCATACTCTCTTGCTTTAATTCAACTCAATAACTTTTTTGTTGCTTACACATGTAACTGTTTGAAAAGAGAGCAGAAGCGAGCAGAGAAATTACCAGTCGAAGACAGCTAGTATAGGTATATATTGTATGTCGGTCAATAATAAAAAAATTTTAATAAAATGAGATCAGAATTTTTAGAGACAAAACGTATTATTATCAGACTATACCCCCGACTATACCGGATTTTCTGAATTTTCGTCTGTCTTCTTAATTTTATTCTTCATAATATACTTATGACAGTCTATATTTCCATATCCTTCCTTTTGGTTGACTTTATACCGTCTATCACGGTCGCTACTGAGAACATGTCTGTAAATAATGTTGAGCTTGTTGTAAGAACGTTATCTTGTCATAGACCACATCATTACCAAAAATGTGTTACATCGGTCCTACGTTGCCCTAGGCCAACTATACCGAATCGATAATATTGTTTAGAATAATATAAAACTATATTACTTCGGTAGATGTGCCAAAGTCATAATACCTTTGAGCAATATGTTGCTCTTTGCAGAAGCACAAGATTAAAAGATATATTAAAAATATTGTAGTACAGGGTGCATCAATATAAGCATTTCTTCTCCTCACGAATGTAAGAAACGGTGGAAGTCTTGTTAGAAATGGTATAATATTGAGCGTCTCATTGAAGAAAACGGAGCTCAGAGAAGCGGTACCAGGTCCTCGATACAAATTCTATAACAAATGTATTAATTATGGGGTAGACTTTATAAATAAATATTTTAAACATAAATGAAATGTCAATTTTAAAAAAATATCACACACATACTTAAGCATACTAAGTATTACCGAATAACCCTATATTAGTGTTAATATACGTAAAAGTACTTCAAACGTAGTAAAGATAAGTAAAAATTGATCACTTCGAATAAGCCGTAGTCCTTATGCCATTCTTGAAATAAATCAAACTTATTTTAATGCTAATCAATGATAAAGTAAACACTCATACAATAAATGTGGGTAACTGACCTGACTAATATCACCTTAACTAAAGCCTTGGGATCTCTAAGATTTTTAACCTTTGGTTTATATTTTTAGTAAAAAAGGAAGCGTCAAACGCTTCATATATTATGAAAATACGTCTAGGTATATACCATTATTCGACAAATCATTCTTAACCAATAAATTGATTGACGTTCACCCACTCAGACGGACATGACTTATATTAACACGTCTCACCTTACTGTCTTTCTCTTCA